TGTGTTTTTTGTCTGCCATTTGTTTTTCCTATTACTTTTCTCCCTCTCTTCTCTTTTTCTTTTAGTATTTTTAAATGATCGCTGGCTGGTTTCTTTGTTCTCTATACTCATCTTTGAATGAGGGGATATTTTCCTGGACTAGCAGTGTGTGTGAGTGTAGGTTGGGGAGGTCCAGGGCAGTGTCTGGGAGAAACTAGGCTACCTTGGACTTTCCTGCCTTGCATCTGGGTTGTAAAGATGTGTGGCCTCCCCTTGCCTCCGCTGCTGCTCTGGTGTCAGGTGGGTTAGAAGGCTTCCTCAGCTCTCCTGCTCAGACTGAGGCTGCTCCAGGCAAGGGCTTGCTGCTCCTTTGGCTCACCCCAGGGGGGGTGCTCATTTGGCTGGGATCTAAAGTTGCTTTGGTGTCCTCACTCATCTTGGTTGCATTTTCACTGCCCTTGGCAACTAGCTTCAGGGATATTTACTTTCAGGGTGTTTAAGTGTTATGTTATTGAAGGTAGCATGTCCTTTTCTGTAACATGTTCTTGTTTTGGGTAGGTAACAAGGGCAGAAGCCTTCAGAGATCTTTACCCTGCCATCCTGAAGCTTTTAAGACCAACAGCCATATTTCTTTAATCAATCACTTTGGGCATCCTCTATAAAATTTGGGAGTTGTATAATATCCTAGCTAACATACTTTTAGGCTAACCTTTTTATGGTTCTGATGTAATTACATGAAATTTGGGTAAACACTAAATATAGTGAATGTTTTCTTATAGACAGAACCTCCACTGAATACACCAGAAAATAGAGAATATCTTGCAGAGATTATGTTTGAATCATTTAATGTACCAGGACTCTACATTGCAGTTCAGGTAAAAACAAAGTGTTTTTGTTGGTTTTTTTTTGTGATTCCCAAAGAACTTTAGTTGTCAAGTAGTGAAAAAAAGGGTAATTCCAAAGGTTCTGGGTTGTAAGATTGTGCTGTTCTTCCTTTTCCAGTCCCTCACCACACACGTGCCGTTCAGATTTGAACTAAAAGACTGTAGAGAACATGTTCCGTGACTTACATTTTTATATTTGTATTATTGGTATAGACTTTGTTTTGTCCGGTCGGCTCTGTCTTTTTACTTGCATTAAAGTCTAATGTGTTTTTCTTGGGGTGACAAGCCAGAGGTGTAGATGTGGTCCTCCTTTTGGCATTTTTTACTTCCGAACAGAAAAACAGAATAAATACCTTTAGAGGGTTCTGCCTTTTTGATTTTGGGCTCTTCCTAGTCCCAGTGTACTCTCTTGGTTCTGAGGGACCCTGTGGTTCCATGAGCTTGCAGAACTTCTTCTGAACCTACCTGTTCTTCACGTGAAGTTTTTTGGTTGCTTTTGGTTATTATTCGACTGCCATCTTATATAAGGGAATTGACTGAAATTTTTGGGAACAAATGAAATGGGTGTTTCCCAGGTGTTCTAACCTCAGTGCGCTGGATTGGACAGTGTTTTGTCATGGGGGCTGTCAGGTGCATTGCAGGGTGTTCTGCAGCATCTCTGGCCTCTACCCACTGGAAGACGGTAGCACCACCACCAGCCTCCCTTCCTCCGACAGTGAAAAATGGCACCAGACATTGCCAAATGTTCCCTGAGGGCCAAAATTGCCCCGAGTGAGAAACTGTCCTATACCTGCCATGTTAGAATTTCTGGGTGTGAGGCCTAGTAATGTGTATTTTTAAAGACTCCACAGGTGATTTTACTGTAGCCAATCTGTGGCCCCACATTGGAAGCCAGGGAATTAAAAATTAAAATCTTCTGACTCTAGAATGAAATTCCTTTCTTGCTGGCTTTTCTTTGTAAAACTTCATGGGAAACTTAACTCCTAGAGTTTTAAGTACACAAAATTTTCATGTTAGTTTTCCAAATTGGACTTGAAATTTTGTCGGTGAAGGTATATGAAGGATAGGGAAAGGAAAGAGTTAGACTTACTAAGTAAGAGGGAGTTTGTTGATTGAACCTGAGAACAAGCTGGCAGAATACTTCAGAAAATGTTCCCCATGTGCAAGTGGTTAACATGTCTTTTCTCCAGGCAGTGCTGGCCTTAGCAGCATCGTGGACGTCCCGACAAGTTGGCGAACGTACATTAACAGGGATAGTCATTGA